TCAGCAGGACCACAACGGGCTGGAGAAATAGGCTGATGTGAACTTCACATCATTCAGGGACGGGAAATGCAAAGTCCTGTATTCGGGATGGAATAACCCCTAGTACAGGCTGGGCACTGATGGGATAGAAAGCATTTCTACAGAAGAGGACCCTTGGGGCTGGAGCACAGGACATGCAGGGAGACACCAAGGTAAATGGGTTTGTACAGTCTTGAGAAGGAAAGATGAAGGTTGGTCTTACTTGTGGTGCTCAGGTGATCTCCAGAGGTCCCTTCCAAAGTTAGCCTAGGATTTTATCTCTTAAATCAGCCCAATTCCATTTCACATATTCCCCCAAATTTCTGAGATGCCCTACACATTTGTGCATACGTGTACAGGCAGATGGTAGACAGGCAGGCATTAGAGGAACTCAACCTTTAAGAAAGTTCCTAGTGAAGAATTCGTAATGACCTTTTGCTGAACACTTAAAGCAAAAAAAAGAGCAGAAACACAGAAACTTCAGAGTATTTAAAAAGAAATCTGAATGAAAGTGGAGGTGACAATTATAATAAAATGCTGCTCATATTCGAAGATTTAAATCATCGGTTTGAAATTTCAAACCGGCTTTCAGAAGTTCATAATGAAATGGAAGATACGACAGATGCCCTCAGCTGACAAAAGGGAAATCATATCAGCTTTTGATCTCTGCACACATGCAATCCGGTTATTCAGAATTATGCTTTTTTGTGTAGTTTGAAATAAAACTTTTGCAATGCTTCCCATTTCGTTCGTGCAAATCAGGACTGAAATATTTGATTGCTGAAGTTCGAAAACTCTTAAAATCCCTATCAAGCAAGATTCAGCATAGGCTGTATCACTCAATAGTTGGGAAGCGTATTGCAAAAAGATGCTAGACATTTACTGGGTATTTATTTTGGTGGTGACAACTAGATCTGGAAATCTCAGAGGAAATATCTACAGTGATTTACAAGTTCCTGCCTACATATTTTCCACAGTGAAAAGCAGCAGCCTGCTTAAATAGCATCCTATAAGCCTGCTTAAATATCTTTGCCAGGCTTTGGTGGAAACTTCTCTCAGACCCTCACAGGAGAAAAGTAAAAATTCTTCTTTTGAGCCCTGTTTTCTTGGGGAAAAAATTGAAGCAACTCAGGTGCACCAAGCCAGAGAGCAGGTCTTTGCTGCATTCTTGACCTCAGCTCCTACACCAAGCCCTCCGGGACCAAACAACTCTCCACTAATTACCAGCCAATCGAACTGGTTTCCTTGCAGATGCGGTGTCAAAAAAGCATTACCCTCTCCAATTCAGCAAACAGGAAAACCGGTGGCTGTCTTCTGAGAGCAAAAGGAGCAGCACAGGCTCTCCACAACACAATTCACATCAGGCATTTGATGAGGGTACCACCGAAATACCACGTGCTTGTGCCTCCATCCCCCCAGAGAACGGGTGTATTTGGCTGACAGCGGTGTGTAACCATTTCAGGAGGTTGCAAGCTAGCTACTAACCTATTCTAGCACTCTCCAGGTAATCTGGGAGAGATAAAACTCGAGAAAAAAAATGCCCCCAACCCATGCACCAGAGACTTGCTGCATCTTTTGCCTGTGCCCTCATTAGCACTCTGGTTTGGGGCTGGAGTGGTTTTGAAGCCTCAGCTTGAACCAGATGCTCTGGTTCCTTTTTGTTACTGTTCACCAACTATATTATCACTCCTTGGTGTTTTGCACAAATAAAAGAGGAGCTCCTGTACCTTTGAGTGCTGATGCAGTAGCGGGCCTCCCGATTACCGATGTTGCGAACCAGCAGAGTCTTCTGGGTGCTGTATTTGACTGGACAGACGGAGAAGTTGACCTGGTCAGGGAAGTCCAGGATAGCTCGGGCACCGATAGCTCGGATTGGCACAATAAACTTTTCCCTTTCTGTGATGCAGGTGAGCTGGTGGAAGTAATCCTGAAGGGAAAGAAACAATCTCAGCACAGGACATTTAGTACTATCCCCATGGCAGAAGAAAAACTGCTGTTTTCTACGACTAGCAGTAGCGTTCAGTAATGTAATGGTCCTTTTTACCTTAATGACCTTTCATTCCAGTAGCATGACTCAGACAGGGCTGTTCACTTGCAGAGAAGAAACAACCTCACTGATTCAGCTGCTTTTGCAGCAAGCTGGCAGAACCAGACAAAAATTATCTGATACTTTCATGCTGAGGCACCAAAATAGAATAATTTCATGTAAGGAATTACAGCAGTAACAAGAACCTGCTTCGATCACCGCTGCAGACTAATAAAGGCACAAGTAAGAACCCGGTTGTGCCACGGCACTAGCTCCAATCCCAGCAACGCAGCAACCTCGTTGAAGCTTGGCAGGGGACGCTCAGCTACATTTTCAAAAGGACTTTGCCACGTGCACGATCGACAGTCAGTCTCTGGTGAAATATTTAATGAGGTGGATACGATAATTGGTTTAATGTCAGGTGAGCATAGGGTACATGTGTGCTTCCCAGCCCTTTCCATAGCATCACAGGGACAAGGCTGGGGACACACACCCGTACAAAGCTGGCTGATCCACCTCCCCACCCCAGGACTGGCTCTGCTCTATACCCAAACTATTCCGGAGACATGTTTGACAAGTACTTAAAGCACTAACAATTCCACCCCTGCCCTCAGCAGCCTGTTCCAGCTCTACCCTAGACTTAAAGAGAGTTCTTCCTGCGTCTAATCTCAAATTTCCCTTTACATCTCATCCTAGCCTCAGGGGATGCAGGCGATAGCTTTGCTTTCTCTCTGCTGCATATTCTGGCACGTCTCTCTTGTAAGGTCTCTAGAATAAGTGCCTTGGTGCCTTGTTTGCGTGCTTTCCTGAGACAGGTGCTATGCGGAACCGCAAGCCGGAGACACGCAGACATCCCTACGAGAGCAAACTGTGCTATTCCCAACCCTTGGCTTGCTCAGAAAAGAGCCAGACACTTGTCATCCTGTTGTCCCCCCCAAGCTGTCTGGCATTTAGCAGTAGGAAGGCGAATTAAGCCACCGAAATCATTTTACTGTGGGGTTGAGCAGCTCGATCTCCAGATGTACGGTGTGGCACCGCTGCGCTGAGCATCCCCTTGCCCCCGCTGAAATCGGTGCTAAAGCTGTCGCAGTAGGGCTAGGAGCCATTACCTCCAGCAGCTCTTATTGACAAGTTGATAAAAGCTCTACCTCTTATCACTCACTTGCTGTCCTGAGCTCCCCCCCCAATGCTTTTAACTCATTTGAGATTGTCTGCTTGCTGCTTCAACAATTATAAAATATTTGATTTAGGAATTGCACGCAGCAGCAAACTCCCTTAACCGGAACTGATTCAGATTCCTCTGGGCTTGGGATTTCCTGCTCCCATCCCTGTCCTCTCCAAGCCTAGAAGGGACTTCTGGAAGGGACGTAAGGCAGCCAGACGAGGCGCAGACACGTAGCTATTGCTTTGACACAACAGCTAACACCCAGTGCCTACCAACTGCTTGCTCAGCCAGGGTTTAAGGTTGCAGATGCTGTCACATCCAAGATGTAAAAAGAATAAAGGATTATTTTTTTTTTCTCTAGACATCTCAAATATTCACACTGGAAACTGCGGAAGGGCTTTTGCTTCTGAGATTTGGAAGGTAAAATACCAGGAAGGGAACTGTGGGAAACTAGCTGCAGAATTGAATATCACATTTCAGGAGAGCGTTTCTTCTTCAGCAAGTCCTTCTGAATTAGCAGTTTTGTACTCAATCTCGCAGCTTAAGCCCTCTAAAATAAAAGCTATGGGCAGCCCATGTGAATTTAAAGCACCTATTATCTGCGTACTTCACGTCCTGAACTGTTTAGATCTTCACAAATTGCATTAGCAAATGAAGAACGCTGATTTTTTTTTTTAATTATTATCATTTTGGCCACACTACTGTAACAAAGGCATTGTAAATCCAATTGAAAGCTGCGTGCCTTATTAAATCTTGGCATGCCATATTTACTTATCTCTCCCTTCCAGATGCCAGGTAGACAGAGGAGGATGCAAGGAGTTCAGATCAGCAGGGAGATAAAGAAAAAAGAAACTTCAACAATCGCAGGTATTTGAGGGAAATGAAAGGAAATCATTTTCAAGTCATTGTCATTGCTAAGGAGCAAGTGGATCAACAGCAATGTGAGGAGGAGCCCAAGGAATAAATCTCCCCCCAAAGCAGGCACAGGCAGCCTTCCCAGCTCCATGGCTGGTGAGGGGCACGGGGACTGCCTGCGCAGCAACGCATGGGGACAGGGACGTCACCGGATCACAGACAGGTTTGGGTGGGCAGGGACTTCACAGCCCACCCAGTCCCACCCCTGCCACGGGCAGGGACACCCTCCACTAGCCCAGGTTGCCCAAAGCCCCATCCAACCTGGCCTTGAACACTGCCAGGGAGCCAGGGGCAGCCACAGCTTCTCTGGGCACCCTGTGCCAGGGCCTCAGCACCCTCACAGGGAAGGATTTCTGCCTCCCATCCCATCTCCATCTCCCCTCCTGCAGCTTCAGGCCATTCCCCTTGGCCTGTCACTCCCTGCCCTTGGCACCAGCCCCTCTCCAGCTTTCCTGGAGCCCCTGCAGGGACTGGAAGGGGCTCTAAGACTTCTCCAGGTACATGAAGGCAAGGCCAACACAACAAGGATCTGGCCTCAGAGACAACCACGACCTTGAGAAAGCTGCCTCTTGCCATTCACACGCAAGCACGTTGTGCGCCGAGCCCTCCTCCCAGGGAGGCCCTGGGACATCGCTTCCCACACAAAGCTGGGCTCAGCAAAGCTTACAATCTACAGGTACGGTTGAAACCAGTTTAGAGCCTTGTTTTACTTTGCAACTGCAAATCCTCAGACTGTTTCAAACCAGGTTTCTAAATAACCATGCCTGGGCGAGACAGGGGTTGCATCACTTCTGTGCTTTAAGACTGCGTTTAGATGCAGCTTCAGGCTACAGATTTTCATGAAAATACAACTTCATCCTTCATACAACTCCTCCCAGTTTCAAGGAAGACACAGATGAGTGTACAACAGTTCCTCTTCTCTTCCTCCCCTTTGATAAGCAATAAGTTACAAGCTCCGGCCTTCCACGTGTCACCACTGGCATTTGAATTCACATCCACTGAAATGAAAGCAACTTCTTGTCTCAGAGGCGTCAGTTCAGGCTCTTTGCAAACTCAGGCTAACATTAATTACTGTCACAGCAATACCAACCTTAACTGCCCGCTACGGCAAACTCAGACCTCAGTTTTGCTGCATAACCGATCCTAAATACTTCATTCCGGTTCATTTTACACAGGGCCGTTTGCCTTGAGCTTCTGCCCCTTTCCTCTCCTCCCAAGAGTCATCTGAAAAGTACACTTGGAACAGCTTCTGCATGCTGCAAAACATCTAACAGGGCTGGGCTGAATTTTAAAGGAGTTAATTTCAGTAATGCAATAACTCATCATCCTGTCATATTTCATATTAATCAATGAGCATTAATTCAGTCTCCACTGAGCATCAGTAATGAATTTTGCAAACCTTACAGACTGAACTTGTATTGCCTGAAAATATTGTATCGCTACAGTGAAAAGAGCAAGAGGACAAAACAGAATAAGCTGTGCCATGTTCTTATAGGCTTCTCGCTTCCTTCTTCCTTGAAGGTAAACTATTAATAAGCCTGAAGGACACACAAATGGACATGTTCCTGTCTGCTGTTTGTTTGCCAGTCACTTCCACAATGGTTTCCAATTAGGCAGAGACTGTCAGACCATAATGCAAAGGACACGCGGGAACGCGGGGTGGCACGAGAACACCCACGCTGTACAACCGGAGCCGTAAACCAGAAATGTTTAAATCAGAAGCAGCAATTCCCAACTAATTGGAAATGTTGCCCAGCAGAAAAATTAGCATTTCATATTTATAACGCAAGTGCCAATAAAAAAAGACACAGAGCAGCTATTTATTTACTTTCTGACAGTCCAATCATGTGGCCCATTCCCAAATGCCTGAGACACAATAAGAAATTGCTCATTTTTCAAGAAAGGACTACATGGCACATGGCATTTCAGCCACTGACAACTCATACGGTCCTTTTATTTAGGGCTGAGGTGCAATTTTCCTCCCACGAATCAGGAATTACTTCGCTCAAGCCAGACTTACTCCAGGGAAGAACAAATTCAAAACAAGAGAATTACATAAACCAACTCCACCCCAAGAGCCCTGGTTATTCCACCAAGCCTGACGGAGGGGTTCGCACCCGCATCCCAATCTGCTGGGTTATCCACAATCCCTGCGGATCACGGAGCAGGGTTGTGCAAAGGTAGTAGGTGGCTTTACAGAACCATTTCCCAGAGCCCAGCTCTTTGCTAAGGGGTTTGCAAGGTGCCATGCACCTCCTGACCACGCTATTGATGCATTCCTAGCTGAGCTACAGCGCTCTGGTACTTCGCTGACTCACGCTCCATCAACGTGGACGAAACATTCCCCAAAATTCTGATTCTGCTGTACAAATGCCCGCGTGGTCCTCAAAGAGCGGCACGTACCCCTCTCCCGACACCCTGCGCAACCCCTGCAAGGGGCACGAAACCCGGGTCGGCAGAAACCGCCTGGACGTCGCTGAAGCTGTGTAGAGGACCTCTCGCTGGTGGAGCTCCCTACGCCACACACTCATCGGTTTGAGGGCAAGACAAAGGACAAAGTATCAGACATTGGTGCTTGCGGGGTTATCTCACCCTTCTTCTATTTGTGGTGATGGTCGTGTGTTGCTCTGCTGCCTCTCTAAACTTGAAGAGCAGCACTTTGCCCTTCATGGGCACCGATTTACCCCTTCCACCCCAAACCTGAACACTAATGAATACTAATAAATCACATTTTAAAGGCACCAGTATACTTTGCAAAGCCTACCTCAGTGAGATTAAGCTCTCGTGTCACTTGGGTAGTTTGGAGAACTGCCCTAGGCCAACATCATTTTTACCCTAAATATTAATGAAGTTAAATAATTCCTCAGTCCCTACAAAGGAACGGATTACCTCACAAGCATGGGGAGCTAGCAACTACGGGGCATTTCCTCTTTAGTTTTCTATATCCATGCTGTGGACAAAGCACTGAACAATTGCTAAGCAGCAAATGGAAGATGAGAAAACAGCTATGCCCAAAGAGATCCTGCACCGCTAGCCTGGTGCAGAAACATCAGCTGGCTCAGAGCTATCCCCTCACCTTGTCTATACATGCTCTTTTCAGGCAGATGTCTCAAATATCACCTACAGCACCAACCTCCTGCTGAGTTAAGGCTGTTTAAGAGCTCAGCGTGTCTGTGCCAGGCCAGCTCCCTCTCCCCAGGCTCGCAGCTGGATGGCAGGCAGGCGTGTATCCGCAGGGACAGCACAGCTGCAAGGCTCGAAAACAGAGGGTATGAAAAAGCATCATCTTTGCTCCGGTCCAGGGTGAGGGAGGGAAGTGGCTGCCAGATGGGAAAGAGAAAAGCTCTCTGGATCTATTTGTTCCTCTAGTATTTTCCATAATAATTAAACCCCTACCATTGAGTAGAAAGATGGCTAAACATCTTATCAACACCCGTCCCTGCCATTTTCCTGCTGTTCCACATGCATCCTCCCTCGTGAACGCTCACGAAAGCGCAGGGAGGGAAAGTGCAGCCCGTCAGTCCCTGCTGCAGCAGCTGGCAGCACCATGCAATGCCACGATGCGAGAAGCTGCAGACTGCCTGACCGCAGCGGCGGCTACAACCAACCTGCAAAAAGGTGATGACTTTAAGACATAACCTTCAGCTGTCTCACTACTGCGTCCAACATGATATACGTGAAGATGACTCCAGGTTTCAAAGGTCCTCCAAATAACAGGTTGCTTTTAAACAGATTTTTTATTTATAATTAGTGGAGCAAACACATAATTATGCAGCAATGGACGGACACTAGAAACCAACACCTTGAGAGGTCAGCCCACCAGAGACTCTCTCATCCCTGAAGCCAACATGCATTAAATGTCCCAATGCTGAAGGATAAAAACAGTCTGAAACACGTAAGAGCCTCCAACCTGTGAGAGTAGAGTTTCCCCCAGTTCTAAATCCAGTACAACTCTACTGAAGGCAGGACAGTTCCTCAAACCCCACACCAGACGCCCTGTTTGTTCACCTTTCACTTAAGGCACCAACCTCTTGGGATCTCCGATCTCACCTTGTTCTCATTGGGGGTGAAGAGGATGCGGTAAGTTGAAAGCATGCCAGGTGCTACCTTACGGCACACAGCATTGAGGCTGATCAACTTGAAATAAGGTGAGTTCTCCAAGGTGACCTTCACCAGCCGAGGAACCTGCAGGAAAGACATGAAACTGATATTGCCACTTGTGGAAACACAAGCAGAAGAGACTTGACCATGCCCTGGTGACATCCCTCCTCAACCACCTTTCCAAAGCACTTCGAGCTCTGAAGGTACATGCATGTAAAACACAAGGATGAACTTGAATAGCTCTAGGCTGGAGGCAGTAGGACAACACCCTGCCATGAAGGAACCACCGAGCAAGTAAGACATCAGCAGAATGCAGATATAATACCTGAATCAAGTCATCCCCATCTTCAACAAGCCCAAAGAACCTGCTTGCTTCTGCCTGCACACATCCATGCAGTCATGTCTCCAGGGGGGGAACAGGATGTGTTATACTGGGGGAAGGAAGAAATCCACTTCTAATACACTGGGTTTGAGTGGGGCAGTCAAGCTGCAGCGCTACAGAGTCCTGTGGGCAGACCAGCAAGAGGAGGAGACCTTACTGGGAATAAAAGCAAACCTGAAGTGCTAAAGGAGGAACACAGGAAGACGAAGAGACAACCCCAGAAACAAGGAGACGGCTAAGGGAATTCAAAGGGGGCTGTAAAGAAGGGAGAAGCACGATGGTCTACAAGGAAAGGCTGATGCAGAAGATGAGAGCAGTCAACTTACCGAAATGACGAAAAGCCAGACGACCCCCCAGGCTGTGCCTATCAATTATGGGCTTCAAAGGCATTTTCTGCCTTGAGATACGTGACCAGCACTGACTCACAGTGTGGTTTCATTATTAAAAGCCAATCTCAGCTCTCCAGAGGCTCTTGCTGCCTGCTGATTGTAGCCAGGCAGCTGCCGGTGCAGGCAAGGCAGATTTCTGGGAATTCCTCCCCACACCCAGGAGTCCCGGCAGGCACCTCGCTGCAAGTTTCTGCCCTCTGGGATACCACAAGCAGAGAGACAGCAAACAGGCATTTTCTAACACACACACATCAACTCCCGAGCTCCAAATCTCAAAGTCTAAAACAGGTGATTTTGAGAAGCAGCTTCACTGGTAAACAACGAACACACAGGAGGCTCAGGAAAAATGGAGATTCATTCACCACCCACCCAAGCCTGATAACTCATGGCCAAGGCAGTCCTGAACTCTCTGAACACCCTTTGCTGCCAGAAATACCCTGGGGCAGCGAGTTCCAGGAGCCAATTTCACACTGCAGACAAACATTTTGGTCACCAAGTCCCTTGGGAGATGAGCACAAGTGGCTAAGACCTTCAACAAAAGCCACCCAGAACATCTTTGAGGGTGGTGAGGAGCAGCCTGAAGACAGAAAAAGCAATTTTACATCACACAGGTAAGAGCAGTAAGTATGTACCAAAGCATTTCTGTATTGGAATGATTACAGAGCTTCTATTTAGAATCTAGTTTGCTGTTACCCGGATTTTTATGGAGCAGACAACCTCAGGCTACCGTGCAGAGTCTGGGAAACTGGTGAGAAAACTCTGAGACAGAGCACAACTTTGCTTTTCTCCAGGACATTACCAAAAGCCAACAAAATTAGAATATAACAACGTCTCTTAGGATTACCATCTCTATCTTTGTGTACTTAAATATGTCAAGGATTTTCCTTAGAGCTGATCTTACTTTTATAGGAGTGCTGTCCAATGGTTGCGGTCTTCAGCTTCAAAATTAATTCATTTCGGAAAAAATCAACAGTTCACACATTGCCGCCCCTCTACAGGGCATACAAATCCCAAGGTGCAGCTGTACAAGTTTATTATTTTTTACTGGGAATGGCAGAAATGTTGATGCAGATGTGCTTTTCCACTTGAGGAAGCATGAATAGAGCAAATTAACTGTTTGCCTGTTGGCTGGTACTTGGCAAAGAGAAACATTTTGAAGTACCACATGGATAATGGAGCAGCTGAAGCCAAAAGACTTGGTGGGAATGAAGCAGAGTCACAGGAAAAAAAGAAACTGAGGCACATTTTAATCAGGAAAGAGGATGCCTGCAGCAAAGAGTGCCCAGAAACAGTGTGGACCACACAAATGGTATCCCTTGGGCATGGGCATCCACGCTGCATCTTTCCAATATTCCCAAGCTAAACTCCAGACTAGGAATGGCACGGTACCCTCCAGGAATAACCGAGGGACCACACCTGCATCCTCCCTTGCCAAAGGGTCTTCTATTTTCAACCATGTCCCTGTCAAAACCTGTTATCTCAGAATATACTTTGACTTCTCTTGCTGTTCATCCACCTGCAAAAATGCCCCGACAGCCTTTTTTCTCCACTTCTTTGTTTCCCCCAACAGGTAGATTTGGGGAGGGGGTTAAATCACCCACTCTCATGTGCTCTTCCACACCTTCCCACCCTGCCCTCCTCCCACATGTACATCATTCGTCATTACAGAACAGTATCTTTAATTACACCTTTCTTTTTCTGACCTTTCTCTGCTTCCCATACACTTACTGTTACATGTCAAGAGAAACCCTTGTGCGTACAATGTTCTCTCCCAGAACACTTTCTAACTCAGCTCCTTTCCTCCCTCCTGTCTTTTCCCACCAGCTTGCTCTTGGCACATGCCTCATTCGAGCAAATGTTTCCCCTGCTGAAATCCAAAAGGTCTCAATTTTCCTCTTTACAGCAGAACAAAATTGCTGACATTTTTCAACTTTTCCCTTCTCAGCTTTCTTGGGAAATCTCAAAGTGATCACTTTTTTTTTTCCCAAGTAAAGGTGGAGACCTTCAAGAGCACATTACTCTGGATGTGCTGTGGTTCTCCGAAGGGAAAGCAGAGAGCCACATTGTCTTAGAAAAACCCAAGCAGAACCAAATTAAGTTTAGCAGGAGCCTTAAGTGGCACCTAAAGGCCTCCCACTGCTTCTGCTAAATCAGTCTCTTTCCACTGCTGTTTCAAAACACCTTTCCTGGAGTGCTAATGCCACTAATTATAACTTATTCCAGCATAAAGCAGAGAAGACTCAGCCCTGTGCTTTGACAGCAAGCTGCACGGAGCCGGCTGAGCAGGCTGCGAGAGGCAGAGATGCCCTGCCAGAAACCCAGAGTAACTGAGGAGCCACCAGGACGTGGTCCATCCTCGAGGTAAAGCATGAGAGCAGGTAAGAGCTGTACAGCCCTCAGCTTTCCCATCAACCCAGGGCTTTCAAGGGGGAGGATGCTGACTAGAAAAGCTCCTTTGGGTTAGATACCCCCAAAACGAGGGGGAGAATTCCCCAGCATGGGAACGTTTCCACCATCTCGCAAAATAAAGGTGGTGAGACATTTTATTCTGGACACGTTGCGCTGCAGCAGACAGCTTGCTATGCTGTACACCACACGAATTACACTGTTCTCTTCCAACACAGCGTCAAACCTCCGCATCCCAGCACTCACCTTGTCGTTGTTCCTCAGAACCAGCGGCACTTCGTAGACCTCGCAGGGGACGTAGCTCTGAAATATCACCTCTGATGGGAAAGGCTGAAACAAGCTCTGTTCCAGGTCAACTGCTGAGAACTGTGGACGCAAGACAGAGCAGAGAGAGGTTCAGCTGCTGGGAGAAAAATTCACAAGCGACAATCCTACATTGGCCATGTTGAGCAGGCTCAAGCTAAGAAGCTCTTTTAGGTGTTTCTCCAGGTTCCCTTTTCCAAAATGCAAGGCGGCACATACCTCGAGCAGAGCCCTGCGCTAGCGCGGTCACACAGCTCCAGAGCATGGGCTGAAAGAGCCACGAGCATTCACGGAGCAAACGAAACCCAACAATTTACATGAGACTCCACGGGAGACAATTTTGGGATGATCTTTACTCTGAGACAGAGAGACCGAGTCCCACACATCCCCAAATACCTTTTTTTGATATAGAGCCTAGAAACCAGTGAGGAGAGAACAGTACCACGGGAGGTAAGGCCAAAAAGAAGGTAACACAGTAGTTAGGAAAGAGACAAGTGAGGTGAATGCTGGATGGTGATAGGGTTCTGCTTTTTTCTCAGCATTACTCAGCATCTTGAGTAAGACTAGCCTTTTTATTTCTTTTTTCCATGAGCTTTAAATGGATTCTTTATTGTATTCTATTATTACCATTTTATTTAATACCACTGCAGAAGCACATCTGAAAATATACCTAAACAGCAAATGCTTTCAGAACAGAGGGATTACTTTGAGAAATTCCTCCCTGCTTTGTCTCCCCTCTTCCAGCCGCACCGTTCCCACTCGAAAGACACCGGCACATCTCCTGCTTCTCCACAGAAGTCTCAGTCACGCTGAAGCTGGTAGCTGCAGCACACTGCCAGTTATTTGTTCACTCGTCCAATGCGTTCCCAACCTCCCGCGCTGTCTAGGGCAATCCTTAACCAATTTGTTACAGGTCTCTTGCTAGCAATTTTCTGCTTAACAGCCTACCTCAGTAATCTGCCCATTTGGACTGTGTCATACTGAGCAGTCCTGTAAAAGCAGCAGCTTTAAACATACATCTAAGTAAACATTGATCCAGATAAAGCACATCCACCCCACTCTGCCCGCGGCAAATCCCCTGTACATCTGGCAGGATCCTGCAGCCTCCAAACCTAACACCCTTTTTTTTTTTTTAAGGGTCACACATCTTGTTCCAACCCAAAGCATTATTGCTAATGGGTTTTGTTACATCTGGAGTAACTACCATAGGGCCCACAGCCTCCAAAGGTCAATGCTGCTACCGTTGAGGGTCTCGTGACCCCGAGTGTCTGACACTGACTACAAAGCGAGAGAGGAGCTGGCTGTTTCAGAGGGAGGATGGCAAACGGCAAGCTCGTGCCCTTGCGTCCTGCCCCAGCCTTCTCCCGGCATCGTGCTTTAGCAACGGCAGCTAAACCCAAGAAAACCCAACTTCAGCAGAGGTTATTGGCTTAGCACTGATCAGGACTTCAGCATCTCACCAGGGAAAAATGTTTTACTTTTCCCCCCCCAGCAGAAAAAACTCCACCACCAGTCTGAAAGGACAACAGGACCTAGTTGCCGAGGTATTTAGATAAGCTGGAGGCGAGCCTGTCACAAGCACGCACCCTCTTCAAATGTCACATCAAATGGCAAGGAAAAGGGCAGGAAAAGGTCTACCTTGTGACAGGAGCTTTCACTCATGTCTAGAAGCTGGATAATCCGGGGCCGCCTCATCTCCCGAGTGTTGGCCAGCCTCTGCTCAGTGGTAAGAGACATCTCCTTCAGGAAGGCAGAGGGAGTCACCTGAAAGGCAAAACACCAGCAAGAGCTACAGAAACGCCTTTGTTCAGAAAGGCTTTTCTTGTTCGAGCACCACAGATAAATAATTTGTGATCACAGCCACTAGGATAGTCCTAGAAGTCCTGAAAGTTATCCGCTGAATTATTTAACATCCGTAAATTAATGATACAGAGCAGAATACACATGCTCTAAACCAAGTGGCTCTGTCCCATTAGCTTCTCCTTCACGATTTGATGTGACACATTTGAGGATTTTTGCTCTTCGGGCATTTGTTTCCTCTTTAGTTTTGCTGGATTGAACCAGTGACCTTTGAAGAGAGTGGGGAGGAGTTATCAGAAATCCCCTAACTCCATCCTCGCACAACGCTCGCAACCAACACGCATGTGGAGATGTCACTGCTGGATGAATCGGAGGAAAGCAGAGAAGCAGCGTTGTGCCAAGACTGAGGTGGAGAGGAATGGGTCCAAGTTTAGTTATCTCTTTAATTAGCACTTGTTTTCTCTCTGTTCTGGCCTCACAGCACCCTCCACAGAAGTATACAGAGACATCTCCTTGACAGAGCCTCAGCATGAGGTCATCTCCAGTCAAACGAGCTCCAGTCAGCAAAAAGGACATTTGTGGATGGGAAGGAGGAATTGCCCTGACTCCATGACTGTCTGCAGGGCTGGATCCGTGCTCCACACAGGACACGAGGTATAACTGGTTTGGAACCTGTTCTATCTGGGACCACCCGTGTGTCTCAAGTCTTCACGCAGAGTTTGAGCAGCTCACCACACGCCCAGCTGCCTGGAGGGCAGGTATGGCCAGAGCAGCACTGACAAGTATGCCTACGTGACAGAAGATATTGCTGCCCACACAAAGAGGATGGGAAGAAGCACCCTCATGCTTCAGCTATCCCAGTGCAACGCCCAGTAACTTCGTTTAACTTGGCTCCAGTGGCGCATCCAGGCAAGACTCTGGACTTCCAGCATGCAGTCCATCTCCCACTGCAGCATGACAGCCACCTCCAACAGAAGCATGGCAGCAAAGAGACAGGGAGGTGGCATCTACCTTCACAGTGCTGCTAGACAACAGGATGGGCAGGCAGAGGAGGGCGAGTTTCCAGCCTTACCACAGCTCCTACCCGGCCACAGCAGGTACTTACAGTTACACACTCCTCCGCCTCTCGGACTAGCTTCGGGTTATGAGGGGTTACCACTTTGCTCTGGAATCCATCAGCCATTTTGGAGGACCCCATGGACCGATGGATCTTGCCGGTGGCCATGTCTCAGCTCACCTGGAAGGAGCAACAATGGGACTTTGAAACTCCAGAATCCCGTTCACAGCAGACCCAAAGGATACAGCTGTGCCTCCAGGCATCCTCCCTAAACAGAACACAAGGCTTTCTCCTCCCTTTCTCACGATTAGACCTCATTTAGGTGGCAGAGTTAAGATCCATAGACGTAAAACCCCAGAACAGATATTCCTGAGCCAAAACAGCCTTTTGCTGTGGGTGCAGCCCCACGAGCCACACACCCCCCCAGGGCCTGCTGGCATTTCTCACCTTCCCCCTCTTCCATTACTTTTGGAACTCCATTTACTGGAATTATTAACCAAATCTCTCTTAGTATCCAAGCTTTATTACTCTTTAAAAGTTTTTTTTGGTGGGAACAGAAGGAAGGTAAATGTCACTTAGCTGCTCCATTTCACAAGAGCAGCTGACCTGATGTGACTTTGTGCCTGACCCTATTAAGTGCTCAGAGTATTATGAACAACCTTAAACCCAGGGATCGCTGCTCCCTCAAACATTAACAAAAAAATCAGACCCCTTTCCTACGTTGCCAACCAAATGTCCACCCTTTGTGCAAGGAGCCTTGCGATTTTTCTAACTAATGGAGCATAGAGTTCAATACTCTGATTAAGAACTATAGTTTCCTCAAGGCTAATTTGGTTGTTTTAAGTTACAAAAATTACCCAGCAAATATGACTCCTTCCAGGCATGAAATTACCAAGTGCCCAAGAGCATTTCTCCATGGAGAATGAGGGCCCTAATTTTCATTTGTTAACACCCAGACTCAAGGCTCCCTACAGGCATTAGAGGCTGTAACAGCAGAAATAAAAGCATGAAACGATTAAAGGAATATGAGCAATTAGCTCAAATATAAACGCAACAGATGTGAAAGCAGGGACACTTCAGACTTTATCCTAACAGCAGCTCTTCTCCAGCACCCCTACCCTATAAGGAGCACGGGTTAACCGGTCCAGGTGCGTTGTTCTTCCAGTCACCAGCCTGCCAAGCACCTCTGTCCGCGTCACACAAAGCGGGCGTGCAAGAAAGGGCAAGAAGACACAGCCACCCCAGAAAGCAGGTCTCAAGCACCCACAAAAAAAAATCAAAGATAAACATGCACAGCATTTATTAAGCACTACTTTGGACTAGAAATAATTTTACGCTCCCCTCCTGGCTAACTAGACCAAGGAACATATAGATTTGCACACTTATTTTCTGGGATGTGAAAGACCAGTGCTCTCAAACTCAGCTCTACTCTAAAATTTTTTGGATCCTAACATTGAATAAAATCACAGATCATACTCCTTCCTGCTTCCATCCATTCCACATCATTTTTTTGTGTGGACTTGCTATATACAGCAAGATATCATCTATACAAAGATGACCACTCCCTCCCTCTCAAGTTTGACCCTCATCCTGCCAGGCAGTAACTTCATCCCTTCACTCAAACAGCTACAGCGTTGTACATGTTTGTGGTGCTGGGCCTTTTACAGCGTTAGGAAACAACAAGGCTGCCGGTTCCTTTTGCAAGAAACAAGAGAGCACAGCACTGTCCTATACACACGAGAACGTGCTGCAGCAAGAGCTAGGATTTAAAGCTGGAAATAACTGCTTTTCAAGAGAAATCTAATGATGATGATACAACATTAATCTGAATTTCAATGTTTTATTATTGGGTCTTGAGAATAACTGGATTATTTGTTCCAATTTTCGACCTGTAATTTTGCTTCACTTGAAATTAATCCTGTTCAGCACATCTCCAGCCCATCACCCCTGTCTGGTGGGGGGAGAACCCTATCTTCCCTCCCTCAAACAGCCCTCTACCCATCCCAGAAACATAAGGATGGATTGCATTTCCCCCTCTGCTCCAGGTTCAGGGCACGGACCTCTCTGGCACCTCAGCTTTGGGTTCAGAGCACAAACACCCCGAGCCTGGGCAGGGGAACTGACTCTGCCAGGACACAACAGCTAGGACCACCCAGAAAAGAATTGAAAAAAAAATATGCCCATGGCTGGTATAGAAATGTCTCAGGAAACCCAGATGTATCAGAAGTGGGTGCCAAGTTGAAGATCACCAAGGACATCCAAGCTTCAGCCTCCTCCCCAAGACTCCCTCTACTCCAGTATCCACAGCAAAGCCAGAAATCTCTACCATCACTGCAAGCTGCACAGCAATTTTAGAATCCATTAAAAACCCTTCCGCCTCCCCGGACTTGCTCTTAGACCAGTTAAATCCTGCTGAGCATCACACAGCTGCTGCATCCCTGCTGTTGGCCCTCCTGCCAACAAAACTGCCTCCCTTCCTGCCCGGTGGCCAGACACTACCTTAGGACAGGTAATTCATGCTTCTCCAGGAGGATTCACTCTGGGTAGTGTCCAGTCTTGCTTCCTGAATCACCACGAGCTGTTTGGTGGCTGGGCACAGCCTGGAGGGACAGGAGTCGGCCAGGGAACCGTTGGTGTGACTGTGCTTCCACCAGCAGCAATAATGGTCACCAGGTTGGTGGCTTCCAAGAGCCCAGGGGAACCTGGAAGGCAACTGCCAGGACTTGGAAACTGGGCTGCCCAGCACCACCTCTCCTCAACCATTAGAGCCTTGCCAGGCAGAGCAGGAGGATTTTACCAGGGTCTCAAGGAAGGAGACAGCTCAGAGCCTGACAATAGCTAAAGTCTGGTTGTTTCTCTGCTGCTGAGCTCCTCCTGCTCCAACACAGGGAGATGCTGCACAGGCTCAGGGTGCTGTGCAGAGAAGCTTCTCAAAACAGCAGTTTCTCATCCTGTAAGTAGCATGATGGGAAAGGTCTGCTAACCCAGTAAAGAGCGGGGGGTTACCACCTTAACCAGTTCCACACCAAAAGAACAGATGCACGTTCAATTATTTGTGGCTTTGGGATTTCTTTGGCTCTAGGCTAGAGGGGAGACTATGCTTTCTGCCTTGAATGTTCCACTGTAATTGGTCGACTTGGTCTCTAGTCCAGTGGTTTACAATGCCACTAAAATGCCTCAATAAAGTTACAGCCTTGCAAATCACTGTAGCCCATCTATTTCTTAAACATCTCACTCTGCAGTGAATGATTGTGGCAGTATTAGAAAGTACGCCTTAGAGCAGCATTTGTTAATGTTCCATGAGCTTCAGATAAATTAATTTAGACACTGCAGACAAGCTAATAATTTCTTTGTTTAAGGGGTAAAGAAAAAAGTTTCCACGCTGACTTACAAAGCAAGAATTGAATTTCTATTTTGCTCGCCCAGGGAGGACCCCGATCACATCAATGCGAAAGAGCAGGTAAATCACTGTGTTGCCACAGCTCCGACAATACCTTTGGGGCTGTCCTCTGTTCTTGCACCTGGTGAATACCCATCTGATGAGCTTGTTCCAATTAACCGTGCACATATACACACACACCAGCCAAGGACACCCAACTTACAAGAGCATCTCAGCTGCCAGGGAGCTTCACGCATTTTCAGCGCAGCATATGCTACAAACAAAAGCTTCTCATGAGACACTCGGCCACAGGCAAAGCAAATCATCACATCTGCTTGGCAGAGAACAGGAAACCCTCTGTTTAAAAACCAACATTTGTTATTTGGGGGTTTAGAATCCAGTCAGGGAGGATCTGAGCTCTGAAAATTAAGTGGCTCTCCAGCCAGCTAGCCTGTGGAAACGCGCTCCCAAACACCTCTCACATGGTGTCCAGCCACAAATCTGAGTGGAAACGGGAAAGCTCAGGCAAAGAAACCTCAGATGCGACACCCTTGTGCACTCATAGCACCAACTAGTGCTATAAGGAAAGGAAACTGGATGGTGGGTGACACTCCCCATCTTAGCAGGCACGACTTGGAGACAGACGCCAAGGTGAGACCCATCAAGTCTCATGTTTGGTCTGAGAGGCACTCACCGGGCCGCCACCTCGTGCTCCTTCCCAACAGCTCCAGCACCCTACAAGCAGTGTTAGAGCCTCACCTGCCCAGGAGAGAAGTGACTCGTGCCTGCTGCAGGCAAACAGCACACCCAGAGCCAGGTTTCATGCTCTGAGGACTTGCCGGAGAAGCCTCAGGTGGTCAGCAAGGGAAACTGCAGGCCACAAAGTATTTTCACAGCACTGCATTGTAAGAGCGACACGAAACCCATCCAAAGCTTGTCAGCACCTCAGCACCCCGATGCCAAACCTAATGCTGGTACCTCGATGTGCTCTCAGCCCCAACCACCCCGCTCCCACGCTTGGCCACGTTCCTGCTATTGAACTCACCATCTATTTTTTCCAGCTCTCCCAGAGCTCTCCCAGACTGACAGAGGGGGTCAAAGCCATTCCTTAGGCCTGCTTGTCAGCCCAGACAAGGTCACTTCCACATCTCCTAGCACTGCTGCACAGAGAAATCAAGTGAGAAAAAGCCTGGATGCTTGAGAGCTACGGAGAAGTCTCAGCTGGGGGGCTCTGCTCTTGGATTACAAAGTCTTTTAGCTAATGACTAAATATGCAATGCATATTTCCTCTCCAGGGGCGGGGGGAAATAGTATCGGTGACCAGGATCTTCAAAACTGAAGGAAAAGATTTATTTCATGATGTGGGCTCACAGCTACTACAGATTCCTTGCTTCAGGCTAGGCAGAAAAAAAGGGCCTGCACAGGATCGCTCTGCTCCCAGGTGAGTATTTTTGGTTATGAGCTACATTAGGGGTAAAGAGAAGCACCTTCACCTCTTTAGGGCAGCAACATTAATCTCTGAACACTACCTGGCTCGTGTGTAGCAACACTACAGGCTGAGGCTGTATGGCCAAAGTATCCGTAGGCACAAGACAGGGCTTCATGCAAGCTCAGTGGTGCCAGGACCTGGAAAATTCAGAAGGCTCAACAGCACAGAGAGGCCCTTCAGCGCCTGTGAGCTCAGCAAAAGCTGTACTGAGGAAAAAGTTGATGTGAGTACTTCGATATGGCCCTAAAGCATCCAAATCCCTTTGTGCCTATGTCCAACAGCTTCCCTCTAAACCAAAAC